CGGCTGCTCCCAGCAACTCCCAGGCCAGGAGCGGGGGGCGGCTGCCAGTCTGAGATGTTCTTCCCCTGATTCCATCTGAAAAGGGAGGATGTGACCCAAGAGTGTGGACTTACTCAAACCATCAGCCCCAGTCCCATGGGAATGACTCGGTTACTGTAGGTTTTGATGCTTCTCCCTGCCCCTCCCAATCTTCCAAAGGCTTTATAAATACCTTACAGCAACCTAGAAACAAATGTAAAACTGACTTCGACAGTTTGGCAGGGAAACGTATCATTTATATGGCATCATGACAGCGTCCTATTTTATGCCTGGTCCAGCATGGAACGCTGCTGCCATATGTTGCTTAAACTATGGCTAAAATAGCTGGGGTTTCTGCTCACATTCCTACGCTATTTTTGGCAGATGAGCCTCGTCTGATCCAGCACAGCTGGTTTTCCTCCCCTGCCCTTGCTGTCAGATAAAAGCATCAGCTCTGTATTGCTGTTAGTTGATGGGCAGCTGCTGAACTCTAAGTTTATCCCCTACAGATGATGCCTCTGGTTAGTTGCATAACAAGATCCACGAAGGCACAAGGATTTGGACTTCAAATGGATGCTCAGAAACACATTCCCACGGTGTTTCCTTGTCACCTCCTTCCCTCTGCCTCTGACAAGGGTGCTGGGATGCAGCAGCTCTGCAGGTAGTGGGATGAGCAGGGATGCCAGAGCCCTGGCCATAGCAGGATACCAGGCTTGTCCCGATGCTCCATTCAGCCTCTGGCGGGACAGACAAACCGGACTCTCTGCAGTGGTGGTTTGCAGGACACAGGCTCCTGCTTCTCAGGAACTTGGCCAAGCCACCAAAAAGCAAATGTTTGAGACATGTATTTATTTTACCCTGTACTTTTCCCAAGGGTGCTCTCTGCCTGAGCAGCTAATTATGGAGCAGGCATTGCGCTTTTTAACATCTCAACAGGGAAAGCATATGTTCAAACAGATGTTTGCCATGAAACCAGGAGGATCCCAGCTTCCCTATAGCTCCGTCGCTAACGTGTGATAGAAACTGCTCCCCAGCAAAGCCACATCCTGAGCCTCGTGCAGTGACTGCAGGGGTGAGATGGGATAGAGCTGGGGCTGGAAATAAAGGCAGGGTCGTGACAACGGCACCACACACAGCCCATCACAGCCCAGCAACAGGCGAGCACAGGGACAGGGAAGTTTCTCCCTCTTTTTGCTTTGAGAACAACGAAGCTCATGTCAATCCTAATGACAGCGTTTGCAGAGGCTGCTCCTGCTCTAGGTAACCTGCATGTTACACACCCTGAGCTTTCTACATGGGGGCACTGGGCGCTGCCATTTAGCAGAGCAGTAAGAGGCTGGGAGGAGAGGTGCTGAGGCTGAATCACAGGTCACTGACTTCCAGAGAGAGAGCTGAGAGCTGGCTGCAGAAAGACAGCCTAAGAACCTGAACTGCTTCACAGCAGCATTATATGCACACACACACATATATATACACCATTATACATCATATATATATTCAGAGAATCATACAATCCCAGCCTGGTTTGTGTTGGAAGGGACCTTCAAGCTCATCCAGTTCCAACCCCTGCCACAGGCGGGGACACCTTCCACTAGAGCAGGTTGCTCCAAGCTGCATCCAACCTGGCCTGAAACAACTGAGAAACCCAGCACAGACCAAAGCTTGGCAAAATGCAGGAAACCAACAGAAAAAACCCTTCCCATGAAAGGAAAAGAGTGGGGTTTGTGTTTGCATTTCCTCTCTTTCAATAGCCTACAATGTAACGTGCAGCAGGGAAACTGCTCTTCTCCTGGTGATGGACTTTGGTGGGTTACCAGGACTCTCTTCCACCCTTCAAACCCTTCCCAGCTCCATGCAGCCCTGCTCCTCATACCCTCAGATAAGAGACCCTGGTCCTCTCACCCCTCCCCAGAGCACTGCACTGCCACCATCCTCCCTATTGAACTTCTCCTTTCACAGCCTATGTGACTGAGTATCAGTTTAAACCAGTATCAGTTTAAAGAAGGGATGAGCTACATCTTTGGGATGGAAACCAGAGGAGCTGATCTGCTTTGCTTCAACAGCACCCAGAGAGGCAGAACAAGCCATGAGCTTGATTCCCAAATCCAGGAGCTTACTGCGTGGACCCAATTGACAGAGCACCACGTCTCTTTGGGCATTCAGTAAGGATACCATGCAGATGGACCTGTTTTTCTCTTTGGCTTGAAAACGCACTATTTAAACCCTGCTATTTGCATTTTGGGAGGTGCATGCTCATTTACATCGTGGCTCCTTTACAATGACCTACTTTGAGGTCCCTTAATGCTGTCAAAACCGAGCAGAGGTTCCTTTGTGTAAAGCAATGATCTAACCCAGCAAAGCACACGCAGCCACACTTAAACCTGGAGTTGGTAGAAGCATGAAATATCAATCCCACCATCCCATAAGCATAAGCCCAAGCCCCCAGAAATCAGCATAAACTAGGAATTACCAAACACACACACCCCGTGCCAGCATATGCATGAGAGGACTTGAAAAGACAACAGAAAAACCACCTTGTTTCTTACCTTCAGTAGCTTTATTTAGAGCTGTTAATGTGCTCAGGACCTTGGAGAACTGTTCTCCGGTGTACAAATCATATGGATCAAACACCTACCAAAGAGAAACTTGGTCAGTTGAGCCCAAACCATCCCACTGGGGCTGTCTGAGGGTATTGGTGAGGATTGAGTAGTCTTTGTGTCTGCAGGGGAAGGGGTTTATCCAGGGCTGACAACATCCCATTTCCTTAATAGCGAGGGAATTCCAGGGGCAAGCACATTGGAAGGGCAGGGGGATCCAGCAGCATTCCCATCACAGCATCAGGGACAGGGGAGGAAGAAATCGGTGCTGGCTGCAGAGCAGGGACTTGCAGAGCATCACTGGGAAGGTTATTGCTTGCCTTGAGGGTAGGAAAGATTTCGCTGCTATTTTTGTTACCGAAAGCTGAAGAGATGGAGGCTGTACATATACATGTATATACACACACACTGTCAGCAGCAGAAGACACAAACACACAGAGTTTTCTGCTGTTGCAATATGGTATATATAATGCATTTACATTCTTTTACAGGAAGCCAAAACCAGCTATTTTATGTGCAAAAATTCCACTCTAAAGCATTCTGTACTCCCGAGCCTCAAACAGACACACATAGTTAGCAAGGGCTTATTTTCTGTGCCTGGTAACCTGGACCTTGCACACCCAGACCTTCGGAAATCACCCCCAGCACAACGAGAGGCAATTTGAGTTTCCAATCCCTCCTGAGAGCTGAGAAACCCCCTCAAGTTCATACTGACTGCACACATCCTCCCCTTAACGAAGCAAAGAGAAGCAATACAAACAGTTCCTGATACAGAAAGCTCCCGTTATCAGTATGACCAAGGCACCATCTGCTACTCCTCAAATCCACATTGTCTTACAGATGGAGACCATAGATCCAAAGAACAGGAAAGATGGTTTAAAAGCTCTCCTGGCAGACACCATCTACTTACACACACTTCCAACACACACAAGAGTGTGTCCTGCTAAATAAGTACACGAGGCCTTAATTACCTTGAGGGTAGCACTGCCCTTTAGAACAGCCCTTTCTTGCTTTCCACATTTAGCTCCTTGAGTCCACTTGGCAGATCTCCATTAGGAAGGGGCCCGGCCTCTTCCGCAGCCCTGGATGCTCGCAGCATCTCTTGCTCTCGATAGACACGCCAGTGCAGCAACAAAGTCCGGCACAAAGGCTGCTCTTTGGTAAGAACATACTACAAACTGACTCACTACTGGGAGAAAGGCTTTACTCCATAGAGATGCAATCTGTGCTCAGAGGGGGACAGCCTGCTGCCAGTATAAATATTAAAGTCACATCTACCGCTCACACATCCCCACCTACCTTGGGCTGTCTCCGAGCTGATCTATCGCCCTCACTCGCTTGGCTGTGCTCCTTTGGACCACGCAGACCCCATCCCCTGTGCCAGCTGGTGCATGAACTAGTTCTGTGCCCTGCAAGCGCAGGCAGCACTATCTGAGCATTGCCTCCAGCCCTCGGCAGCGACGTGAGTGTCTGCGTGCAAAGGGAGATGGTAATGGAGAGCCCGGGCGTGCGCTGACCCTGTTGGCAGCCGCTGCAGGATGCAACGTTACAGCAGGAGGGATGTCTGCGTGCAGCTCTCTAGTGTGTCGTTCTCTGTCATTGCCTTTCTTTTCCCCACTTCAGTAAGTCCAGAAAAACAAGTCCTGCCTTGAATGAATGGCATCTTCTTTCTTTAAAGGAGTAAAATACACCCCTGATGCTTCAGAGCACGGAGTAATGCTGCAAGCTCACAGTCTGGCAAAATCCAGAGGAAAATGGTGGTGGGAAGGAAATTATAGCATCAAACCAAGCAATAACTTTTAGGACTTTTCTTCATGAAGAAATTGTCTGGAGTAGCTGCTGCGGAGCAATGGCTATATGGAAAACTCTGCTGGATCAGCTACTGTAAAGTAAATACACTCTGCAGCTTGTTCCAGAATAGATTAATCATACAGAAAAGGCCTCATTTATGAGCTAAAAATTATTTTTTCCAGCACAATCTATCCGTAATTCCATTCCTAACTATAAGACAAGATGTGGGGCTGGAAGAAAAATAGAAGTGGAAAAGGTTTTTTGCTCTTAGCTCATGGAAGATCACAGAATCTCACACTGGTTTGTTTTGGAAGGGACCTTAAAGCTCCTTCAGCTCCAACCCCTGC